GCAGGGGTGTGTCCCGATTCAAGTCCACTTTCACCATTCACTGCATCTGCACACGGCCCTTAGCCAGTCCCAAAGTTCAGAGCTGGTGGGGGGTGGGGCGCGAGCCGGGTCGGGGGCGGGGGAGCAATGCCATACCTGGAGATGGGGGTCGTGGGTCAGAGCTGCAGGGGTGTGTCCCCAATTCTAAGAGTTTTATATGTCTGCCTTGTGTTTGGGAAGGGACAGCATCTGCCTATCTGCCATTGACCTTGTATTTCCTAAATCTAGACTTGGGATTCAAGAGTGTTAATTATCAGCAAATTAGTTATGTATTAGGTGTATATCTCTTAGTAAAAGGGAGCTGGAGATCCTACTCAAGACTGTTTAATTAATTTTGAACTAATTTTGCCATGGTTGACAGAGTGAAACCAGAATGGACCTAAATTTATAAAATGTGGGTGTATTAGAATGATAACTAGAACAAGAAAAAGTAGTGGTCATCATTGCTTTGCTAGAACCTTACTCTCCCTCTCAGAGAACAAATGTAAGTGTTTACATAACGTAACAGCCAAAAAATAGATACCTTTTTGGAAAACAATATATATTTGTTTTTATTGTTTTACATTTTCTCCTTCCCCTCAGCCCACCCCACAATATATCTTTTGTTCTAGAGTTTTCTTACATATAATGCATAATCATATATTCGTTTCAGGCAGTTTCCCACCTCATCTGTTCTGAGGTAATGTTCATTATCTCTCCTGTCTTTCCCGATTGTCTGCCCAACCCCTCCATGTCTGTCCTATTTAATTATACTTGTGACTGAGATACTTTACTCAGCATAATGTCCTCCAGGCTCCCCCATGTTGTGTAATGTTTTATGAGTTGATTGTTTTTCAGTGTTGGTAGTATTCCATTGTGTGAATGTATCTTAGTTTTTCTGTCCATTCATTTGTTGATGGGTATTTGGGTTGCTTCTATCTCTTTGCTGTTGTGAATAACAGAGCAGTAAACATAAGTGTGCATACATCTGTTTCAGCATTGGCTCTGGTTTCTTTAGAGTATATTCTCAGTATTGGAATTACTGGGTCAAATGATATTTCTGTTTCTAACTTTTTGAGAAAAGGCCAGACCACCTTCCATAGTGGTTGTACCATTTAACATTCCCACCAGCAATGAATAAGAGTTCCAGTTTCTCCACAACCTCGCCAGCCATTTGTTGTTTGCTGCTTTGTTGAATTTTGCTGTTGTTGCTAGGGCAAATAGATTTCTTGATCAGCAGTCAGAAACACCAGTGCCCTACGCAAAAGTGATGACCAACTGTACTGATTTTGCTGTGTGTGGTGGTCTCCAAATCAGTGATCCATTCTCCCATATTAGGTTCCTGGAATGATTTACTGTAGTTTTCCCTAGACTCTGATTCTAAGCCTTTGACCTTATAATAAAGAATACCCTTTGTAATTATTGTTCCACTTCATCCAAATTTTTAGTCTGTTCAGATTTCACTTCATCATGACTGAACTACCTTGAACTGGTTTGAGGCCATGGTTCAATGCAAGGCAATTACCTCTCTGAACCAGGGTGCTGAGTTTTATGAATAACACACAGTGACCAGATTTCTTAGTAGTGTCTAGACCTAAGTGCTGAGGATGCAGGAAGAGTCCCCAGATGGGTCTGCATGGGGCTGAGAGTGATGAGATGGAATTGGGCTGCCAGGACTGGAGAGTCTCCCCTTCGCCCAAGACGATTTGTTCTCCATAAAGGCCTTTATTGCTTCTTGGACATCTTTTTAGTTTTGAAAGCTGTGCTATCTGAGCTGCCTTTAGTCCCATTTTGTCCATTTCCTGCCCCTTTGCCCAGGTTTTGGCCCTGTGGCTATAGACACAGGGTACAGCCTATTGCTCTTTGCCATCTTGCATGTATGGTAAAGTGAGTGCCTGTGATCCACTTCTGCAGTAGACCTTCTAGCCTTGCCAGTTTTCTTGGCACTGTGCCCTTCTGAAACCTATTGGCTCCTCTTCTCTGGGCACAGCTTGTCTTCCTGGCCTTATTTCTTATGCCTGGGATGCTTTCCATCTCCAGCTGGTAAACAGCTTCAATTACTGTGCTCCAGTGTCCTGAGTCATGTCACCGGAGTTCATCTCCATTCTCCCCATGTATCCAAAGAACCTGTGAATTATTTCCTTAGGAGAATGACTGTTTAATAGATGGTATGTGTATAACAATTATTTTTTTACATTATTTGTATGTTGTTGTTGTTGTTAGGTGCTATCGAGGCAAGTACAACTTTTAGCGACCCTATAAACAACAGCCCTAAACCCTGCTCTATCCTGTGCCAGTCGCACTGCCTCTGACACACCCGTCTCGATTTCCCCAGACACTGAATCAATCCACCTCATAGAGGGTCTTACCTTACCCTCTTGAGCCATCCCTCCACCCTCCCAAGCATGATGTCCCTCTCCAAGGACCTGTCCCTCCTTACAACATGTCCACAGTATGTCAGACGACGCTCCAGAATCCTTGCCTCCAAGGAGCAGCCTGGTTTAACCCTCTCCAGGATGAGTCTGTTTGTTTTCTTGACAGTCCATGGTACATTCAATACTCTTCTCGAGCGCCACAGCTCAAAGGCATCAATTCTCCTTCTGTACTTCCTAGTCATTATCCAACTCTCTAGTGCATATTAAATGAACATTATTTAAAAATGGAACAGGTAAGCAAGCAAAAATATAAAATAAAACAAACAGCCTAAACAATAGTATTTTGGAGACATTCTTAAAATTATGTTAAATGATATATCATCTCACCCCAGTAAGAACAGCAAAATTTAACAGAACAGCAAGCAACAAATGCTGGCGAAGTTGTGGAGAAAATGGAACCCTTATTCACTGTTGGTAGAAGTATAAAATGGCGCAACCACTGTGGAAGGCTGTATGGCACTTTCTCAAAAAGTTGCAAATGGAGATACTATTTGACCCAGCAATTCCACTAGTGGGAATATACCCCAAAGATCATAACTGCCACCCAAGCAGATATATGCACACCTATGTTTAATGCGGCTTTGTTCACAATAGCAAGGAGTTGAAAACAACCTAAATGCCCATTAACAAATGAATGGATAGAGAAGCTGTGGTATATTCTCACAATGGAATACTATGCTGCATTGAAAAACCAAGGAACTCAATGCAGTAATATTCAAAATGGGTGACCCTGGAGGACATTATGCTGAGTGAAATATCTCAGTCACAAAAGGACAAATATTGCATAGTGCCACTGTTGTAAAATAGGACTGACATCGAGATTGAGGGGAGACTGTGAAAGATGAGATAAATAATGTATACTGCATTGAAACAGATGAGGGAGAAAACTTTAAAAGGGTTATGTGATTAGGTATTATTGTCATGACAGGAGTCCAAAACGAAGGCTGCATAGTGCAGTGGACCTGGGGGCAGGGATTGTAAAACAGTGAAAGAATTTTTCTTTTACTTTTCAAAGAGAAGACTGTACTGGGGGGAGGGGTGGGCAGGGAGAAAAGTGCAACAATGGATGAATGGAAATTAAAAAAATATGTTAAATGAGAATTAATAGAGAGGATGGGGAAAGTGTGACTACATTATGAATATTGGAATTAATGTTACTAAGCAAGTGGAAAATAACTGTTTTGTAAGCTTTCATTCAAATCACATAAAAAATTATCTGAAATAGCTTTCCAGACTTTATTACAAACTCATCCTGCACATACGGATTTTTCAAATGCTTAGATCCTGATTATGTTTTTAAAATGTGTAGCTTGGTTCATTATCTTAAAATAAATGGATCGATAATTTCATCGTCTAAATGAAGAATCAGATCATTAGAAGCCTCTAATGATCTACTGCAGCTTTTCTTAGGCCCTCCAAGTGCTTGTCTGATACTACCTCGGAAGGAACCACTCAAAGTTAGTTCTCCTTACTTTTGAAATGTATGTATGTATATAGATAGGTATAGCTGTGCTATTTTATTTGTGTATATCTCAAATACTGAATTTTTGAAAAAATGAATTTATGCTGTATGTGATGATTATACATTTATTTCAGTAGTACAGATCTTCCTTATGTTCTTCAAATGATTGCACTGTTTGTAGGGTCAGTGTGTATCCAGCCTCCTTACTCCTGTTGAACTTTAGGTATCTGTCTCAATTGGAATTACAGTGTGTGCAGTAGCTTAACCTTCTCTCTTTCTGGCAATGCACCGGTAGGTTAGAGAGCATGTTCTTTCTTGGCCAGCCAGAGGCTCTTTGGGATCAGCACTGTCCGGGGGCTTCCTATTTTCCTTCCAGTGGATGGCCAACCCCTGAATTACTGCTACCTCTTCTCCAGAGCTCTTGTCAGCTGTCCTGGGCTCTGTGCAGAGTACTAACCAGACTTTGTTTGCTTTCCCAATAGCGTTGTGTGGTGCTGCGTTTTCTGAAGTTTCATCCAAATAGGAATAAGGTAAGATCAAGGTGGGAAGGGGTATCACCCAGTCATTAACAGTTATTAAAAAAAAAACCCCTTAATTTATTAAAATGTGTAAGTATTAATGCTACTTATAAAAATTTAAGTAAGACAGTGAACATTGTGCTCACCATTTGTTATTTAAAATATCCACTCTAGAGTTGTGAGTCCTGGCTTGGAGAGTGGCCTGGCTGCAGCTGAGGTCTCTGCAGTGCTGAGCTGAGAGGAACCACCCAGACTAGAGGAGAGCACTCCCAGGGTCAGGCTTCAGTTGCACTGTGGTAGTGCTCTTGCTGCCTCATTTTCCCTACCTGTAGAGTTGTGTCTGTGTAAAGAAAGCTTACATAGTTGTGAGAGAAAATCTCTGCTCCAAGTCACAATGTAAGATCAATTGAATAGATGGTTATGTTTTTTACTGGCTGAGTAGGTCAAGAAAAGTGACATGGACCATCTGAAAAAAGGTCTTGTTCAGCAAGCAGGCTTCAGCTTGTTTTCTGCATGGCGGTGCTGTGCTGTGGCGCAGGTGTGAGGCTGTCATCCAACATGATGAATCTGTGTCTTTTTGTCGTGTTGGGAGAACCATGTTTTGAACACATCTTCTGTGCCATGGGCATTGAGTTGAGCCCTTGCACTGGCTTCCTCTGACTTAGTACTTGGAGCAGTCCTATGAACAGCTCAGAAAGGTCAGGAAACTTCCTGGATTGTTATTGTTGTTAGTGGCTAAAATAAGTGTAAGCCAGAGCAAAAGCAGACATCACCCCATTGTGAGCACTGCAGTGCCACACTGGTGAGAGGTGGCAGAGGTTGCCGTCTTGAAAGAGGTGGTTATGTGGGAGAGAAGAGATGGGTTTATGATTGGTAGTGTAGGAATAGGAGTAATGTGACTTACTGATGAGACATTAATAAAAGAGGTTGGTGAGAGTTGGGATGGAACAATTTGTGGAGATGGGAGTTGATCCTGTGGAAGAGATAGGCACAGGACAGGGATATGTGTTATAGTGGGAGGAATTGGGGATTTTGGGAGACAGCAGTGTATTTTGTCTAATATGGCTGGGATGGAAAAGCTGCAGACAGTGGTCATTTCAGAGAAGGACAAAGGCTGATATGGGCTTGGTTAGACACTAATCCAATTAATCGTATTGTTGTTGTTGTTATGTGCCATCGAGTCCTTTCTGACTCATAGCGACCCTATGCACAACAGCTCTAAACCCTGCTCTATCCTGCGCCAACCGCACCGCCTCTGACACACCCATCCCGATTACCCCAGTC